GAGCTGGGTGGAGTTTGAAAACCAAGTGGTTTGAAAGGAAAAACTAGAAGGAAATTACTATGGTGTTACATTTGTTAATGTGTTCATGTTAATGCAGTAAAAATGTTGTTTTAACACTGTAAAAAGAAACATTTTTGATTACTTTTAAAACATGACTGAAACATGCATATTCAGCCAAACAAGCTCAACCAGATACCAGATGACCCGTTATACCGCCCTCTACTAGGGTTCACCCTAATTTCATCATGTGATTTTCATGTTTAGTTCAGTTGAGCTCTCATTTTCTTATGATGAAAGTAGTTACTGAATTAAATAATAAACACATTCTGATGAAGATTATCTGCTCAAATTACTATAACAAAATAGTTTTTTGCTTTATAAATGGAAGAAATCTTGCAAGATAACAAAATGCAATTAATCCAGATCACACAAAAAAGTGTGATTGACATTAATTGCATCTAAAAACTCTATTGCGGTCAGTATTTAGCTAACCATGTATCAGTTCATGGTGCAATGTACATAAAGATGTATTTATTTATTGATTAATTTTAAGTAGAATGTGTCTTTTGATGTCTGCATTATATTTCTGTCTCTTTTCTGTGTTCACTTATTAGTGATGAACATGAAAAAGATATATCGACACAGCCGTAGGTATTAATTTTGGTGTGTATGATTATATATACGTAAGTGGTCTTTATTGAGTGAGAGAGAATGATGTTTGACTGTCCCAATACTGATCAAATTATGTTACTGAATTACTAACAAATATTCAGATTATTTACTCTAGTATTGATATTTCAGAAAATCACCTAGATTGAGGTCCTTAAGAGTGTGTGTCTGTCTGCCTTTAGTGAGCCATGTGACCTGAGCAATCTGATACAAGTTCAGTCTCATTGGCCTTAACAGAGCGAAGCCTCTCAGTTTACTCACACAGATATACACACTCAGTGTCTCCACTGTCTCAGAATGAGCCTCTCATGTTACTAAATACACCCTCATGTAGGACACAGCAGCAGGTGTACAGGGGGAAAGAAAGGTGGAGAATGAGCGAGAAAGAGGAAAAGAGAGGGCTGAAGAGGAAGAGAACGAAAGAAAGAGAGGGTGTGTTTGTGTGAGTGAGGGAGACAAAGTCTGTGTATGTGTGTTTGTGTGTTAGTGCATTACTTTACGTTTGGATGTGGAAGCATCACTTCTCTCTGCAGAAGAGGCTCAGAGAGGAGAGGGGCCGGACTGCGCAGGTACAGTTTGTTCTGATTGGCTTGTCAATTCCAAAGCATTGTGACATCACATTCAAAACAACCATTGTTGTCTCGTCTCATCTGTTTACTCTGTCTTTTGAGTTTAATTGAGATTAAAACGTAACTCTAGAGTTACGTCTTCATTTCAGTGAATGTATGTAAGGTTTATAGATATCTGCTCATCCAGGGACTCTTCTGAAATCAAGGGTATTAATAGGGAGCTTGTCCTCCTTTGCTGAAGTAAAAGCCTCTTGTCTTCAGTATGAAAGGTATTTGATGGGGTTCTGTCACTCCAGGGAATCAGTTCCACAGCCCAGTGCTGGAGGGCTTTATACCAGCTGCTCCAGAGCATCCCATTCTATTGGCACTGGTTTTCTATGGGGATTATACAAACTGTGTGCGCAACTGAACACGCAAGTCAGCAGTGGGTGCACATTAAAGGAGCTGGATTCACTAATTCAAAGGGGTGTCTGAATATAGTGACCACAGAAAGTACCTGCCATGCTTTAAAAAAGTATTACGTTCACTTAAACAGACAAAACTGTATTTTTTTGGCAAAGTATTTTTTCAAAAAGCAGCTGTTTCTCACATTGAAGACTCCTGCAGGTTTGCATCCAAAATGCCTTTGTGCTCTTCTGAGTTCATGATCTCATCAGTGGACACAAGCAATGAACACATGATGTGCAGTAAAATATGCAGTACTGTTTTCATTGAGCTGAACAGTTTTTAGTTTGCAGGGTAGCATTTGATTACAAACACATTACCGTTTTACCTGCTGTGATACATCCTTCACATCCATGTTTTGCTTGCCATCTGTTATCATTCACATTAACTATATTTTCTCCATCATGTTCCACACCAACTCCTTTCTGTTGACGTGACAAAGTGGTCTTGGTGGACTGATCTGTTTTGCATTATGATAATACATATGAGGAGCCATTAAAAGACAGTTCTACGGAGGACCCACCTTTCTTGGTTACCACCTAGATTTCGGAACACAGCTCCCGTCCTACGTAGTGTGAGGTAGAACTTTTTTCCCCCACCTGTAGTTGTGATTGTTAAACTGATAAAGCCGTGCTGCAGCTGTCCACGCATGGAATGGCTTCCCTCACAAATCTTGAAGGGGGGCTTAAAAGGTTTTTATTTTATGAAAGCTGAAAAAGATTAAGCATTGGCCATTTTAGTCATGTGGGTGTTATGGCTGGCAAAACGCAGAAATATGCAGGACAGGTCTACTCCATGACCAGGCTATGGGGCCTGTGCTGTAGAAGAACATGCATTGGCTAGGCTGATCTATGGTAGCGGCAGTGTATTATGTGTTTTGGTGGCAGTGTTTTTCAAACCACTCTGTTTCTGGCTTGTTAACTACAAAGATGTACTGCAGCATTTGCAGTGATTAACTACACCTTTGAAGAAACACAAAGCAGCAGCATTTTTCTTCCTATCTGCCACATCTGTAGTGTACGGTCAATTGCCATGGCAACAATTTCACCACTTTTTCCTATACTAAGGAAAGAATAGAACACTTGTTGGCTCGAAAAACACACAACAGCTCAATAAATGCTTCTGACTCCTGAAAGCCAAAGAATTAGTGAAAGTCCTCTACTTAAAGCTGTGATTCTGCATAATATGTTCTCTGAGGTAGGACTGGTTTTCCAAAGGAACAGTCTGTGCTTATACGTTATGAGCGTAATGGTGTGGGCGGAGTTTTCACAGACACGGCCTGATTAGGTTTGAGCTGATACTTTCTGTCTGTCAAAATTGTCGATCAAGTTGGATTATTCAAATGTCTGAAAACAGGTTGTCTGCAGCTTGAAAATGCACTGAAGTAATTATATTTGTCTTGCAGTTTTTTTTTAAACAAGTTTTCTGTTAATATGTAACTGTAGTTCATGTCTTGAATCAGTCCTGATATGTTGTCTGGCTTTAGAACGTTCTGCAGCAGCGTGAGGTAGAACTTTTTTCTCCCCTCACCTGTAGTCATGCTTGGTAAACTGATAAAGCCCTGTCTGAAGCTGTCCACACACAGAATGGCTTCCCTCACAAATCACTGTTAAAAATAAGAGTTCAGTTCAACTTAATATGATCTAGTAACTGATTACATGGCTTTTCTTGAATTGAATCAACTTAAGGACCCCAGAGTTCACACAACTTCTTAGTTGAGTCAAAAATTCTCCCACCTACTGTTGCTAGGTCTGCATCTAAAAAGATAAACAAAACTGAATTTGTGTTTTACTCAGTTTCCCCACTAGCTGGCACTCCTTCTATCACACAGGCCCATCTGGCATATTTTCCTCTTGGGCTTCCGGATATGAACAGCTGCAGTATTCCTGGGATTCAAACTCACAATCTCCTGATGTCAGCATGAGTTATTAGACAGTTGCACCACATGAGACGCTGCTTTGCTTTAAAGTTAAAACAACAAACATTCTCTCCAGTGTATTAAACATTTGTACATACAAAATCTGAGTTGCCGTAGCCATCCGTAAGTGTGCACCCAAAAGGAAAAATGTCTAGCAGGATTGTGTGATGGGAAGAGTCCTGGCTAGAGGGGGAAGTTCAGTGTTTAAAAAAAAAAAAATTCTTTATTATTTACTGAACTGAAATGCAGGACTAAAAAATTAAGAGAACTTTTGACTCAGCTAAGAAGTTTGAGTTGTGTGAAGTCCTCAAGTTGAGTCAACTCAAGAAAAGCCATGAAATCGGTTACTGTATCATTTCAGGTTGAGCTGACCTCTCATTTTTTTACAGTGAAGGGGGGCGTAAAAGACTTTTAATTTCTATTAAAACCTAAAAGGTTAAGCCATTTATATTAACAAGAAGCGATTCAGGCTGTAAACCAGAACAACCAAACCACACAAAGAACTAACTGGTAACTACTGGTAAAGACAGTTTCTGACAGCCAAGTATTTATTTTCTCTGGTTTAGACAGGCATGTCTGGTAGTATGATGTAACATCTTGCTGTGCAGAAATCGGTTAAACAGGGAACAAAAGTGCCGTGGATGTAAATTATAAAATACATTTTCAGTGTAAGGAACAGTCTGCAGTTCGTATTTACGGCTCTTATTTCTGTGTGTGCTGAAAATGTCCGGCCCTTGTTTCTTTTGTTGTGGTTGTTTTTTTTGTGTGTGTTTTTATTTAAGGCGGCCTGTCTGCCCCTCAAGATAGTATCATCCATCGCCGATGGCTAGGGGCTGCGATCAGTCAGTGGTACATTGCTCATAAGTATCACAAATATCGCAAGCCTATTTCTGATCACGCAAGTATACTAGAAAACCTTTGTGAAAGCAAAGTACATTGAACTGCTTTTTTACTCATATGTTAAAAAAGTTCATAAGAACAGCTTTGGTAAGACATTCACTCGTATCTGCTTCACTCATGGATCCTTTATTATTACTGTCATGCTGCATTTTCAAATTCACATTATATAGTAACAGATTTCAAAGGTTTATTCATAGAATTCTGCAGCTGCCTAATGGCTGCTATTATGACTTCTGTTCTTTTTTAACTACAGGGAAAAGTGTTGAAGTGATCAGTGGTGTGATAGATATTATAGATTCCTTTAAAATGGAAGAACCGATTATTCCCCATCCAGGCAAGCACACCACGTTGAGTCAAGACTTCTAATGCTACTTTAACCTACCTCTGTAACAATTAGTGTGTCTGCTAAATATGTAAATGTTAGTAATGCTCTCTCTCTCTCTCTCTCTCTCTCTCTCTCTCTCTCTCTCTCTCTCTCTCTCTCTCTCTCTCTCTCTCAGGATGCAGGTTACTGGGTGCAGGTGCACAGGTTGGAGCATGGCGATGGAGGAATTCTGGATCTGGATGATGTGCTGTGTGATGTTGCAGATGACAAAGACCGGGTGAGTGCTGCTCGGCATGTGTTTGATCTGCTGCTGCTATCATCTACTGTGAGAGTTATGGACCAATGCCAGTATCTGTGCCAGTTATTTTCATGTACATGTGTGGTGATGTCAACACGTAAACATTTACAAAATGAGATCAATGTGGATTAGCAGTACAGAGAAAACATTTATTTACCTAGAGTTACAGATTTAGTTAAGTGAATAAAAAGCAGAAATTTTAGTCCAGCATAGTCTCCTACACATTCTGTACCTCCAGAGTGCAGTAAATACATAATCACCAATCTAAACATATAACTGGTGTGATGCATTTTTTGAAGAGTTATTTGCTGATACTGTCCAAAACTGGATTCTAATGTAGGCTATGTTTAATATGGTTTCAGGGCTCTACACACGCGTTTTATACCTGGACACATCAATCTGAATATTAAATACATTAAATATTATATTAAGAAATTTTTTCTTTTGGTACAGTATACATATATACACACACACATACACACACATACATAGCTGTTGTCGGCAGAAAAGCTTGTATCTCCAAAATCATAACTTTACAGCAAAAGGAAAAAACCTATTTCACTTTTAAGAATAAGGTTTGCTCTCCTTGATTTCTCCTCAATGCCCCCAGCATAGGTTTATTAAATTCCTTTACCAGCACACTTTATTTAATGTAGTGAACTATTGCAAACCAGGATTTGGGTGAAAAGTTCAAATAATACTTGGCTGTTTGGTAATAGTTACACAAACGTGTATTAGTAGTAAGAAGACATACATTAGTAGTGTACTAAAGTTTCTAATTCAGTTACTGGTGTTGAATGAACCCTGTCTCACCAAAACCATATGTAATAACCGTGACCTCATCAGAGGCCACACACACACCCTGCCCCAGATTCCTAGCCTAGTTGGGGAGTGTGTGTGTGTGTGTGTGTGTGTGTGTGTGTGTGTGTGTTGAAGTGGGGTGATCATGCCTGGTATTCAGTCACTGGTGATATGTGTGTGTGGAGCGTGCCAGCTATCTTCAGTGATCCTGTGTGTGTGAGAGAGACACATGCTTACATTTGTTGCGTTCGTCTGTGTTTGATGATGACTTTGTGGTTAAATCTGTTTGTCACTCTGAAGGTTGGATGCGGGTCAGTGATATGAGAGATTGGTGATGGATCAGAAGGTCATCAGTTTGAGTCCAGCTGCTGCACACTGCCGCTGTGTCCTTGAACAAAACGCTTTGGGAAAAATCATCAGTTAAAGCACTCAATATGAGTTGTGTAGTGCTTACCTCAGATTGTACACAGTAATGTTGGCTAACGGTCAAGTTATATTTGTGTTTTAAATACATCCACAAGAGCATGAATCACACATTTCGCAAAGCTTATGGTCTTCTACACCAGTTACTCTCACCCTGGAGGTTGCAGGATGGTGTGTATAAAAACATACAAAGACCTGTATGTGTTGATAGTGACCCTTCCATGAAATCTTCTACACCAGTGATATCTAGAGCTACAGCTGATGTTGAATGATCAGTTGTTGGCCATGGTGTTTGGCTGTTGGGTGTGGCGTTTGTTTGGTTTTCAGTTGTGGTTTTTGATTGTTCGGTAGTTGGCTGCGATTTTTGTTTCTGTTGTTGGCCGTGGTGTTTGATTTTTTGGTTGTTGGCTGTGGTTTTTGCTTGTTCGGTTGTTGGCCGTGGTTTTTGCTTGTTCGGTTGTTGGCTGTGGTGTTTGTTCCACTATTGGTTGTGCTGCTTGTTCGGCTGTTGGCTGTGGTATTTAATTGTTCGCTTGTTGGCCACGGTGGTTGATTGTTCGATTTTTGGTTGCGGTGTCTCATTGGTCGGCTGTTTGATTGGTAGACTGTTGGTCACGGTGTTTGATTGTTCGGCCGTTGGCCGTGGTGTTTCGTTGGTCAGCTCTTGGCCGAGGTGTTTGATTGCTCGGCTGTTGGTCGCGGAATTAGCACCAGAATTAGGAGCCCTGCTCTTATGTGAATCAATAAAGCTAATCAATGTAAATACCTCCAGATTAAGTGCAAGAGCCCTACTCCAATGCTAATCAATGTAGCCTTCCCATATGCAGCATGCATCACATGCACAGTTTTAGTGACGATAACTAGCCCCACCTCCAATAACAAATACTGCCCAAATACCTTTTTTATAATGGAAACACGGAGCTTCATAGTAGTTAAACAACTTGGACACTGCACAGGTTTTGTTTTAGCTGCCAACAACCGTCTAGCTGTCTTTGCACCTCAGACACTAGAGTTGGGTAAGTTGGGCGTGTGTGGCTCTCTCTCTTCTCTTTTTTAATCATAAACGCTTAGCAAAATGGGTTCTATGTAGTACCAAAAAAGGGTTATTTGGTTTATAACAGTAGTGGAGCCCCTTTGGGTGCTATATAGAACCCTTTTCAATAAGGTTTTATATAGGACCATATAAAACACATTCTCCATCAATCTGAAGAACCGTTTAACGATGTGACGAGCCCTTTAATCACAGAGGCTTCTTTAAGTGTTCATAGAACCATTACCTTTAATAAAGGACCATTTAAGTACCATCTTTAACTATGTAGTTGAGCAAACACAGGTGTCTGCATGCCTAAATGTAGGTAGTTGCAGTATTCATTAAATTTATATAACAGATAATTCACTCACATCCTCAGACACGTCCTTCACCAAGTTTTGACCTTCAGCACAGAACTGTGTTCACTGGTGATGATTTTCTGATTACGGACCACACTGTACTCTCTATTCCTTTAATGGTTATGACTGCTTACTCTTAACATACAGAAGACACAGCAGTCAGGTGGTCTTTTACATTTAAACAGTCCCTATGTGTTCCTGTAGAACCAGTCTGACCTCTGGTGGCCAGTACACAAACACGAAGGAAATACATTTCCATATTTTTTTTAATATGTGTCAGATTTGTAATATATTTCCATATGTTGTTGGCAGTGTCAAAAAATCATATATTGCATATACATTTTTTTTTTTAGTTTTTCGCATCGTTTGAGCGTGGAAGCTGTCCTTGAAGATGAATGGACCAATAGAAATGCCCTGAAATGAACTAATAAAACCACTTTACATCATCTTACATTGAAAATCTAGAAAGTTTTTTGCCTTTTCCTGTGAATTTACCATTTCAGAGATGCATGGTTTTCTTTGGGCAGTAGGAATGTGTGCAAATGTTTCAGAGTGATGCCAAATATGTTCATATATTGACATTAAAAATATAGGTTATATTTTTTTTTCTTCACATGAGTACAACAGAAGACTAGTTTGCTCAGAGATCTTTTCAAATAAAACTTCAAACGTTTTCACCATCTCTTGGAGACTAAACAGTGAATATGTATCTAAACCTGTCAAACTGAGCCAGAACTCTGTTTTCAGCTTTCTTCTCTTCAGCCTGACATTCAGTACTTGGTAGCTGCCAAACATCAGCTCTTATCAGATGAGTCAGAAAAAAACAGTCTGATTGGTAAAATTTTCTTGCGGGCTGGGGAGGCTTTTGTGGTCATCTGTGTGGGTCCAGAGCTGCAAGAAATTCGGAACCTTGTTTTAGTGTAACGTGGAGCCCAATTTCTCAGATGAATGTAAAGTCACTTTTAATGTCACTTCGGTGCATAACAGCAAAATCAACCAGAGTGAAGAATAACAACTGATTCCAAATTTCAGGTTTGGTGAGCAGAGCCAGATTTCCACATAGACAAAGCGTTTTCTTCCTCTCTCATTCGGTGCCTCTGATTGTTTGTTTATTTATTTATTTATTTAACTCATTTACAGATTGTCCAGCTGCTAAGAGTGAGAAACATCACCATATCTGGCATCGTTCACAAAGTCGGAGACGTGTATATATTACTGCCGATGTACACATTTTTATCCTAAATGTAGTTGATCAGCCGGGACACGTTTGGTTTTTGTAGTTTGTTTCTCATTTGTTTACTAGAGATTAGCAAGGCTGATGTTAAGGAAGCTTGTAGACCTATTAGCATCATGAAAACAGTATGCTAAATGAGCACACACTTACTTTAGACCACGTTGTCATTTCAAATAGACTCGCTTATATTATTCATATCATTGTTGATTTTTTTACATCATTTATATCATTTCTGACATACTGGTGGACAGAAGTACAGACAAGCATCAGGGTGGTGGTTACTACTGTTTTTAGCTTGCTAATGATAAACTTTTAGTGTAAAAGTTTTGCAATAAATTTGCAGAAAATGCAATGTTTAAGTCTGTGTTAACTTACACTCACTGAGCACTTTTATTAGGAATACCTGTGCACCTACTCATTCTTGCAGTTATCTGATCAACCAATAATAAGTAGGCATGATTGTTGGTGCCAGACGGGCTGGTTTGAGTATTTCTGTAACTGCTGATCTCCTGGGATTTTCATGCGCTACAATCTCCTATTGCACTATGCTGCGTGAACCCTGAAGAAAAACCGTCCAGTGAGCAGCAGCTCTGCGGACGTAAACTTGTTGATGAGAGAGGTCAACGGAGAATGGCCAGATTGGTTTGAGCTGAGAGAAAGTCTGTGGCAACTCGAAAGACAACTCTGTTTAACTGTGAACTATGAGCAGGAAAGCATCTCAGAATGCAGAACACATTGAACCTTGAGGTGGATGGACTACAACAGCAGAGGACCCTCCACTTTTGTCAGCCAAGAACAGAAAGCCTAGGCTGCAGTGGGCACAGGAACAGAACTTGACGGTTGAAGACTGGAAAAACATAGCCTGGTCTGAGAAATCTCAGTTTCTGCTGAGCCGTGCAGGGTGGTAAGGCCACCAACAGCATGAATCCATGGACCCAACCTGCCTTGCGTTAACAGTTCAGACTTGTAGAGGTGGCGTGATAGTGTGAGGAATGTTTTATTGGCACACTTTGGGGTCATTAATACAAATCAATCATTGCTTGAATGCCACAGCCTATTTGAGTATTGTTATTGACCATGGGAATCCCTTTTGGGAATACGCATTCAGAATACAGAAATGAAGTCTCTAAAT